CAGCCTGTACATTAATGATCTGCCTTCTGTCTGTACTGGGTCTGAAGTTCAAATGTATGCAGATGATACAGTGATATATGTGCATGCAAAGAGCAAACAACAAGCTGCACAAGAAGTCACTACTGTAATGGTCCAGGTGACAAAGCTGCCATGCAGCTCTCCATGTTGTCTGTAGCTTGTGAGGTGTGGAAATTTTACTGAAACGTTGATTAATGTGTACTGTCCCTTTAAAAATAAACTCAAACTCAATGCATGTTATCTGCTATGTCCCACTCTCACCAATAGGGGCCAGTGTGACCATACTGAAAGGGGGGTGACTGTCCACAGCAGTGTTCCAAGCCTATATTTAATGTAAATATCATGGTCAATTTACATATTGCCCCTTGTGGGTTCCTTAAAAATAGTGGGTCCTTATTTGTTATGGGAATAGATAGTTTGAACCCTGTGTCATGGTAAGTCAGAGCACCTTACCGATCACTGCACCTGTACACAGCCCATCTGAAATTAGCCCGCCCAACTACCTCATCCCTATATTGTTATTTATTTTGCTAATTTGTACCCCAGTATCTCTATTTGCACATCATCTCTTGCACATCTATCATTCCAGTGTTAATACTAATTGTAATTATTTTGCACTATAGCCTATTTATTGCCTTACCTCCATAACTTGCTACATTTGCACACACTGTATATATATGTATTTCTGTTGTATTTTTGACTTTGTTTTGTTTTACCCCATATGTAACTCTGTGTTGTTGTTTTTATCGCACTGCTTTGCTTTATCTTGGCCAGGTCGCAGTTGTAAATGAGAACTTGTTCTCAACTGGTTTACCTGGTTAAATAAAGGTGAAAATAAAAAAATAAATAAAAAAAAGATCGACCCAAGGAAATAGCGACCTTGACAAATATTTCAGTTTCTGGAGTACATGGTTCTCTGCTACAAAGACAACAGTAAGAGGATCCAAACGTTCACAAAACCAACTCTAAACCACACCTTTAACCTCTTCCTTGGTATCATATTTGTTATTATCTCAGCCCAATTAGTTCAATGATATCTGGAATGACAAGTCTAACATCAGACCTAATTTCCTTTGAAACATGTTGTTGAGAGGATGATTGAACCTAAGGGCAATTATAACATAAAAATTGTGTGAGGTTAGTGGTTAAAATACTCTCCTATCCTACTTTTCTGTGGCCCAAATAAAGGTGCTAAAAACCAATTATTTTGGGGGTTTTAATAATGGGCTGTGGGGGGGGGGGGGGAATTAATGCCACTGCAATCAAGAGCAGAACCCCACTGCTTTCCCTAACCTTGGCGTAAAATAGAGAAATCAAAAAGAATAAATTTCAAACTTTGTACTGTAGCTGCTAATTATCCCCCTTTTATCTGAGACTATTTTATTGTCTTATTTTTATCAGTGCATTCTCTGGGCCAAGCTTAAAGGGGTTTCCCATTAAGGGTATACCCTATTACAGGGGCTGCTGAAAATGGGACGTCTCGCCACACACACGAACACACAAGCACGCGCGCCACATATGCACGCACACACACGTCTACCCCCACCCACAAACACGGGCACACGCGCACACACACACACACACACACACACACACACACACACACACACACACACAACACACTCCGCAGGCAAGGACAAACTGGGGGAGGCAGGGGAGAGCTCAGCCTAGATTCTCAAGACTTTCTCAAGACGAGACGAGACACTCACTCAGTCACTCTGATGTCTCCCGTTCTCCCGTAGAAACATGAAAGGCTACAAGGACATTCCGTCTAGAACACTATAATGTTCTCAGTGTTCTATTCAGGAATGTTACAGTTGAATAGGGAAACTATTTGGCAGTCCACCCTTTAAATGTCATCCATTAGAATCAATTAGAATGTGCAGCACGCTCCGCAAAGGGTTAAATGAATAGGTAACCTAGGAAACGAGTACTCTCTTTCAGGTAGAGAGGTAGAGGGATGGAGATATAGAGCAGGTTGAGTGAAGTTCAAAAGGCTCTCAATTTGAAGTGCACCGAATGAAGTACACTACCACCCTACTTCCTCTTATAGTCAAGGACCCCTGAAGGTCGAATTGGATTTTATATGTATGCAAATGCTTATCTTCAAACCTGAACAGCAATACCTTCCAGGGAGAGAAAAATAACAAACTATTCTCCTCTTGACAATTTTAAAAAATGGAGGCAAGAGATGTGCTCGTCTCAGATCAGTACAGAATATTTTCAGTTTAGACCAGATTCTTTGAGCGTTTTAACAGTATTTCCCCCCTTTCGTTACAGTTGTGGGTTTGTGGCTTAGACAGAATATTTGCAGAGATGTTACATACATATAGTCTAGAGGTTTCTGTACCCAGAGAAATATCCCAGAATGCAGTGTGTAGATGGAATGGAAGGTTATAGAAGCAGGAGTTTGGGTAGGTTGGTTCCAAGAGGGGAACCAAAGTTTCAAGGAACCTGGGTCACCCCTTATCATTATTTCAGTTGCACAAGTCCCTGCTCCATGCTTGATAACATTACTCAGAGCAATGACTCAAAACACGACAACATTGAATCACCGGCCAAATAGAATATGTGTCTACTACTCTCTTAGAAAACAATTTGCTATCTACAACCTAAAAGGGTTCTTCGGCTGTCCCTACAGAAGAACCCTTTGAAAAACAATTTTTGGTTCCATGTAAAACCCCTTCCACAGAGGGTTCAATATGGAACCCAAAAGGGTTCTACCTTGAACCAAAAATAGTTCTACCTGGAGCCAAAAAGGGTTCTCCTATGGGGACAGCCGAAGAACCCTTTTGGAACCCTTTTTTCCAAGAGTGTACCACATGACCATACTCAAGCCTTGTTACTGAGAATGGGGATAACGAGGTCTGGGCATAAACTGATGCAGAAGAAGAGAAGGAGGGAAAGATAACAAAACTAAATACCTTCATCTAATCCCTACATCTGTGATTGACGTTTACACCATCACACCATCAACAACCACAACAGACATTCACAAAAACAGGAATATGGAAAACCACAGGATTGGAATGAGAAACATCAGGTGAGGTATTATCTCTATTCTCAAGACCGGAGCCAAGATGGATTCTCACACGTCTCTTCTGGTAGAGAGAAAACCCGACTAATGTCCTAATCTATTTCCATTCAGCCTCATTAAACTTTAATAAATACAGAACTATTCATCATCACACAGGCCATTTGGTCGATTTGTTCTACAGATGTACTTGAGGATAATTTTAGAGCCTTCAGAATTAATCTAATTTGAAAGCATTGTGACCTTGCATCCTACACTAAGCTCCTTCTAATTTCCTAAACTTTTATCCGCATCATGGCAAATGGTTAATTCTCCACACACACGCATGCATGCACACACACACACACACACACAACACACACACGACACAAACCTTCAATAATGGAAGCTCATGTTGAGAACAGGAGTAATCTCTCTGACGGGTGCCGGAGTTTAAGCGGTTAACGGTACACAGTTGACGTAAACGGTTTGCGGAGAACATCAACTGAGGTAAAGCAAAAGGGAGGAAATTAAAGGAATGAAAGCAAAACACGTCATAATAAATCCCACAGTACTCTCCACTACGTGATGTACATGTTGTGGACAGGGTTCACACGACTTCATTTACATTTTTCATTATCGGTCTCCAGCCAGGGACCCCTCCCGTAGAAGGACCAAGTGGGGGGCGCAGGATGCGGGATAGAGGGGGGGACACACTGGGCTAAGGGGGCACAGACATTTGTGCACTGGCCGTCTCAGAGAAAGAGAGCGAGAGAGATTAGTTGTCAACACAGTTCTGTTGTGAGTGATTATAGGGCGCTGTGCCGTTCTGGATACTATAGCTCTGTAGCGTTGTGAGTGATAATAGGGTGCTGTCTCACTATCTATCTGACTGTCTATGCCACTCTGCTGGCCAAACTACAGAAGATGGTCTTATGATCATTATGATAGCTCACAAAATGGTAATGGTTATAGCAATGATCATTATACTAGCGGGTGTATCATGCAGCTACTGCTATCTGTTGTAGGATAGGAAAACTACCATCACTAATCGAATCTAATGCTATTGCTTTATAATGAAAACTGTACATTAGTTGCTTCATAAAGGATTTGTGTTTGTACATACAGTGTTGCTAGAATGTTATCATGTAAACTGTGTGTTTGCGTGTGTGTGTGCATTAGACTATGTGTGTGTGTGTGTTTGCCCTTTATATGACTTTGTGTTTGTCCTGAGAAAAGGTTCTGTACACTTGTGAATGAGTGCGAACATGTGAGTGTGAACGTTTGTGTGCATGCTTGCATGTCTGAAAGTGAGTATGTGTCCTGTACTGCATGTGACTCTGAGTGTGTTGTGACTTCCATGCTTCTCCCCGTGGCAGCTCTGTGGAGGTCAGTTCTTTCCCAGCACAGTAGGAGGGGAGCTGGGTTAGAGGGAGGTTAGTGATAGGGGGCACTCCCTTCTCCACCACCCTCTCCCCACATCCCACAGTGGTATGGTAGTAGTATTAGTGGAAGGTTAGAAAGAGGATGCATGAACATTCTCCCTCTCCCCTCATCCCACTGACCCCACTACTCCCTCCTGCGCTGGGCTGTGTGTTGGTTGTCATGGTTACCGGGCGGCCCGTGCCCAATGGGCTAAGCTTCCCAACCAAACCCTTGGGGCGCCGGGCCATCATGGTAACCGTCGGCCAGCGCGCTTTGTTCCAACTCACACAGCTAACCTTGTTGCAAACGGTCACGTCTGAAAGTGAAGTGGGCCCAATTTAGGAGTCAGAATATGCTTTCTTTCTTCTGGTCTTTTTTGTCATGAATTTGAAAGGGTCAAATGATTGAAGTAGGTTTCTGCATTCATTTCACTTGGATTCAGTCTCTATCTGGAGTCCTGGTTTCAGCACAACCTTCCTCAGTTCAGCTGTGGCCTTGATGGTGTCTTATAAATCTGACAATGGAAATCATATCCCAAATATCCTATAAAAATGGCTTGTTTTTATTCAATACTATAATCTTATTACTATACAACTTACTTTAAATTGCAATATTTACATGCTATTGCAATATTTCTCAAAAAGGCAGAATTTAAGAAAGCAAGACTACAACTACTGTGATAAGTTGATAGCCGTGTCTCTCCATGCCCTCTGTGCAATGACCACTACAAGTACACAGCTTCCAGGAAGTCCTTTTCACTTCCTGTGATGTGGCTTCCTGTGAGAGAGACATAACTACAAGCATTTCACAACACAGTAATCACCTAAGAGATCACACGAAATTCTTAACTTCTATAATTCTTATCAAGCTCAATGACAATGATATATTATCTTAAATACACATTTGTACCACAAGCTGAAAAAAACCAGTAAGAGCAGGTGAGATCAAGGTCATCATCAAACCGAATCTGGTCATGATAACATGCCATGTGTGAATACCGTATGCATTTTTTATTTTATTTTTTGCGAGTCAGTGCTGTGTGTTTTGTCAAACACGTTTCCGTGACGTGCTTATGCCTCCCCGTGTGGCCCCTGGCTGCATTGTTTCATATCATCTTCATGTTGAATTTCCGGGCCCCTCCGGCACCACCCGTGGCCGCCGGCCCCTCTGCCTTCCGGAAAGGGGTCTCCACTGTGAAGTTGTTCTTGCGCTGGCCCCGCCCCCGGCTCCATGCGAACAACAACAGGAAACAGAAGAGCACCACGCCCAGGAAGGTGATGCAGCCCATCGCCGTGGAGACCAGGATGGTGGTCAGGTCCAGGGTGAACTTGAGGAAGACGCGCGTGCTGTTCAGATTTGTGTCGTTGAAGAACTCGCCGCCGTACAGCGAGCGGTTTGCGAAGAAGGCTGACGCGGCATCCAGCGGCGCGCCCCGGACGGTGAGCATGGCAAAGTAGGTATCGTTGCCGCCGGCATTGCTGGCGATGCACATGTAGGTGCCGCTGTCGGTGACCTGGGCGTAGCGGATCTCTAGCGTCCCTCCTGGGAGGACAGTGATGCGGCCATTGCTCTTGGCTGTGATTATTCGGCGCTGAGGGGAGATCCACATGATGTTGGGGGCGGGCTCTCCCACGGCACTGCAGAGGAAACTCACTGGCTGGCCCTCACGAGCTGTCACCTTAGAGGAATGAATGAATGGATAAATGAATTAATGAATTGATAAATTAATGAATTAAAGAATGAATGAAGTATTAGGCAAAAAACGGAAACAGGCAACGAAGCTGTAAGTACTACATATCAATGTGTACCTACACTGTAGTTACATTATGCTTATGTGTACAGCAAAGTGGGATAATAACTCTTACCTGTTGAAGCTTGCGGTTGCGTATCTTGGGCTTCTGGCAAGTGAAGTGATCGAAGAGCGCTGAGTCGGTGAAGGTGCTGAGGCTAAACCCCTGCACCTCCTCCGGCCCAGTGCACACAGGCACCCTGCCGTCAAAGTTGAGGGTCTTGCGTCTCTGCAGGATCCACAACAGACGGCAGTCACACAGCAGCGGGTTCCCGTCCACCCGCAGCGTCTCCAGACTGTTGACGGAGTGGAACGATCCCTCCTCCAGGGTCTGGAGTTCGTTGGAGGAGAAGTTGAGGACCCGGATCTGTCTGAGGCCTCCCAGGGAGTGAGGCTCCACCATAGCCAGGCCCGTGTTTACCATGATCAGCTCCTTGAGCCTCAGCAGGTCCCTGAAGGCCCAGGGCTCCAGGGTGGTGATGGGGTTGTAGGACAGGTTGAGATGGGTGAGGTGGATTAGGTTCTTGAAGGAGGACGAGGGGACGGAGGTGATGTTGCTGTTAGTGATGGACAACCAGGACAGGTCCAGGCCCTGGAAGCTGAGCGGGGAGATGTACTCCAGATAGGGCCAGTTGTCGATCTCCAGCCCCCGCAGGTTGATAAGCTTGCGGAAGTTCTGGTCTTCTAGGACGGCGATGCTGAGGTGCCGTAATCGCAGAGTGACCAGGCTGCGTAGGTAGGACAGTGTCTGGCCAGAGATGGACGTCAGGTTGCAGTGCTCGATGGTCAGGTCCTCCAGCCCCAGCAGACCAGAAAAGGCCTTCAAATACAATCAGATCGAACTTGATTAGATGTGAGTGCCAATCGTGGAAACATAATATAATCAATAAAAGGTTATAGACAGATCAGGAACAATAAAGTGCTTGGTAAACAGATGGGGTAACAGCTTACCTTATGAGAGATGTAGACCAGGTCGTTGTCTCCTACCTCCAGGTGTCTCAGACTCCTCAGGTCCTGGAAGGTGTAGTCCAACAGAATCACCATCTTGTTCTCACTCAGGTCCAGCGTTGTTAGGTTGCCCAGCTTGGCGAAGGCCCCCATGGGTACCAGCTTAAGCTGGTTCCCCCTCAGCTGTAACACCCGGAGGCTCTGCAGATTGGCGAACGCGTTGGGCTCCAGTGTGGCAATGAGGTTCTCACTCAGGTCCACTTCTTCAAGGTGCGGGTACGGCGCCAGGTCGCCCGTCTCGACCAAGCGGAGCCGGTTCCGGCTGAGGTCCAGGATGCGTGTTTCCGTAGGGATGCCCTCTGGAATTCCGGTGAGTCGCCGCCGCTGGCACGAGACCGACCGGATCTGGGCCGAGCACTCGCACCGTGGTGGGCACGCCTGGCAACCGCCTGGCAGCAGGGTTATCATGGCAACCAGCAGCAGGGCCGGCCCCCAGAGACTCACCCACCGCCACAGCGACAGGGACCACACACCGGGGCCCGGGGAGCCAATCATGGCCCTGGTGGTCATGGTCTGACTCCTAGCCTATCACAGGCCGGGTCAGTGTACTACACACCTATAGAGAAAGGGAGACAGAGGGAGGAGAGGTTATTGAGAAAGTGTGGGAATTGAGAGGAGTAGAGGAGTAGGGAGGAGAAAAGGGGGAGAAGGTAGATAAAGACAGAGAGAGGGAGGTTGAAGAAAGAGAGGGAAAGATGGAGAAAAATAGAAGGGAGAATTGAGGTAAGAAATTGAAGATATAGGGAGAGAGGGGGGAAGGGATAATGGAAAGTCCAGACAGAAAAGAGTGTGGGTGAAGGGAGGACAGGAAGACAGATGGAGAAGTCTTTTAAAACACCTATCCAACACATGCATGTTCATAAAAATGACATTCAGTGTCCTGGATAATCCATGCTCCCTACCATACCACTGCCATTATGCCCCTGAAAGCTTAGACATCACAGCTACTTTGCAAAGCATTAAACCACCACTGACACCATCACTTTATAGTACATTGTTTTGTTTGTGATATTTAAGATACAGATGTAGGATCTTAATTTGATCACCGTTCAATGCAGGACATTTTTAACTTGTAGTGTATTTGAGGTTTAAAAAGACTTATGAAGTTTGAAATTTCCAGACATTCAGACTTGAATGTCCATTAATTATAATCCACATAATAATTCACATTTCCTGTTGCTGCAGGATTATTTTCCTGCTGTAGCAAACTGGCTCAAATTAAGATCCTATGTCTGTAGTGAAGATACTTGTTCATTTATCTATTAGTGTAGCAGTAGAACAAGGGCATTGTGAGTCACGTGAGTGAGAAGCAGCCTGTGAATTCATGCATGTTTCCTCCTCTTCTCTCCTCCTCGCCATGTGCTATCTTCACACCTCGACACACACTGAATTCATCAGACACAACATATGACTCGATGCAAAGAGACAACAGGGTTAGCGTGGAAACATCCCCTGAAATGCCTGTATATTCTGTGTGTATATGTGTATCACAGTGACATGAACACATCATTTTCTTCATACAAATACACACATACACACACCTTACAGACATTTCAGATAATGTTTTCAGGCAAACCCTGTTGCCTCATTGGCACTGAGTCATTTTGTGGGAATGTGTGTGCAAGTGACTGTGAGTGTGTCTTTGAATGTGTCATTTCAATTTGAATAAATTAAAATTGTATTTTGTTCTTCTATCCACAAAAAAAAAGAAGCTAATGCTTAAACGTTCCTTCAAGCAACCTGTCAAGTCACCCACGCAATGTTGCCATTGAGTGATTTGCCAGAGGACACCAGCCAAAAGGTTCAAAACGTTCAGTACCGCCCCTAATACACACACACACACACACACACACACACACACACACACACACACACACACACACACACACACACACACACACACACACACAGACAGACAGACAGACAGACAGACAGACAGACAGACAGACAGACAGACAGACAGACAGACAGACAGACAGACAGACAGACAGACAGACAGACAGACAGACAGACAGACAGACAGACAGACAGACACACAGACACACAGACACACAGACACACAGACACACAGACACACAGACACACAGACACACAAATACACACACAAACACACAAATGTTCAGCATTGACTGCACCGATTCTCATTTACATCAACAACCTACAGAAGAGTTGCAGTGGAGGGAGCTATAGGGATGATTAGGTTGCCAAAGTAGAGAGAGAGGCCCCAGGGTTAACAGCCTTACTTTTGTGACAAGTGCCATGTGACCTTTTATGAACAGTCAGAAAGTCAGTCAGTGACCTTGGTTGAAGAGGATGTGATGCCCCTTAATCATAAAGAGGATGTGATGCCCCTTCAAGTGGACAGGGAGTGATGACAAGTTAGTGTTTTTATATTGGGACCAGGTCCCAGACTTCACCAGGCCCCTGGCTTACAAACCTAGAGCTCCATCTCATTAGTCCTGTATCTCATTCCCTCCACGTCTCCAGTTAAACACTAAAAGAGAGCTGAGATCAGCTCAACACAATTAGCACATCAGAGATATATGGGAGCGGGATCGACACTGACACATGTGGAACACCCTGTCATGGATCAAAGATGAAACAGGTACAGTACAGCCTGTTTAACAGGAATTAAAGAGCCACACAAGTATCTTATTATAAGGAAACACTGAAGATTGTTTATTCTCTCTCAAATCTAAAGGCTGCTATTTTAAAAAGGCCATGATAAAAGGATTGATGATGCAAATTATTGTCTTCACTTAGCTGTTATTAGAGGTGAAACACCATGAAAGAAGCAGACATTAAACTAAGTCTGAGCTGCATTGAAAGTTGGGATCTTAAAGGGGTAGTTAGGGATTTTGGCAATTAATATCTTCCTCAGAGTCTCTGCATTAGCACATTTGCTAACTAGCATTAGCTAACGCTAGTTAGCATTGGCTCGCGGAACTACCTCTAACTTCCTTCATACTGGACACAGAGACATAAAAATGGTATCCACTAGTTCATTGCCAACATCCTGAACTATCCCTTTAAGACGAATGAGAAGGAAAGGGTTTTATAATATATTACACTGCCTTTACTGGAGGGATGTTAAAAAGCACTCTGAAGATTGGTTTTGTTTCAGGCAGAGCTAAACAGATTAATAATATATGTGCTAGTTTGTGTTTATCGGGCACCGTTCAAGGGTTGAGTTATGGGGCAAATAGCCATATTCTCCTCAGGATCTTTCTGTCTGCCTATATGGTAATACTCTATACATTATACCGCATATTCTCTCAGGTTCCTAGAGATTTAAGAGAGAGAATGTATATCCTTCACGCATCTCCACTTGTACTATTAATAGCCAGCTTTACATACAGCGAGGCATTGGTAAACCCACACAGACATTGTACCGCTGCACACACACACACACACACACACACACGCCACGCACACACATGAAAAAATTATACAGTTTACTATAGAATACTACAGTACTTACTATAGAATTCTGTAGTAAACTGTAGTATACTGTAGAATACTATACTGCACACTGTACAGTCGTGGTCAAAAGTTTTGAGAATGACACAAATATTAATTTTCACAAAGTCTGCTGCCTCAGTTGTTATGATGGCAATTTGCATATACTCTAGAATGTTATGAAGAGTGAGCAGATGAATTGCAATTAATTGCAAAGTCCCTCTTTGCCATGAAAATGAACTTAATCCCCAAAAAACATTTCCACTGCATTTCAGCCCTGCCACAAAAGGACCAGCTGACATCATGTCAGTGATTTTCTCGTTAACACAGGTGAGAGTGTTGACGAGGACAAGGCTGGAGATCACTCTGTCATGCTGATTGAGTTAGAATAACAGACTGGAAGCTTTAAAAGGAGGGTGGTGCTTGAAATCATTGTTCTTCCTCTGTTAACCATGGTTACTTGCAAGGAAACACGTGCCGTCATCATTCCTTTGTACAAAAAGGGCTTCACAGGCAAGGATATTGCTGCTAGTAAGATTGCACCTAAATCAACCATTTATCGGATCATCAAGAACTTCAAGCAGAGAGGTTCAATTGTTGTGAAGAAGGCGTCAGGGCGCCCAAGACAGTCCAGCAAGCGCCAGGACCGTCTCCTAAAGTTGATTCAGCTGCGGGATCGGGGCACCACCAGTTCAGAGCTTGCTCAGGAATGGCAGCAGGCAGGTGTGAGTGCATCTGCACGCACAGTGAGGCGAAGACTTTTGGAGGATGGCCTGGTGTCAAGAAGGGCAGCAAAGAAGCCACTTCTCTCTAGGAAAAACATCAGGGACAGACTGATATTCTGCAAAAGATACAGGGATTGGACTGCTGAGGACTGGGGTAAAGTCATGTTCTCTGATGAATCCCCTTTCCGATTGTTTGGGACATCCGGAAAACACCTTGTCCGGAGAAGACAAGGTGAGCGCTACCATCAGTCCTGTGTCATGCCAACAGTAAAGCATCCTGAGACCATTCATGTGTGGGGTTGCTTCTCAGCCAAGGGAGTGGGCTCACTCACAATTTTGCCTAAGAACACAGCCATGAATAAAGAATGGTACCAACACATCCTCCGAGAGCAACTTCTCCCAACCATCCAAGAACAGTTTGGTGACGAACAATGCCTTTTCCAGCATGATGGAGCACCTTGCCATAAGGCAAAAGTGATAACTAAGTGGCTCGGGGAACAAAACATTGAAATTTTGGGTCCATGGCCAGGAAACTCCCCAGACCTTAATCCCATTGAGAACTTGTGGTCAATCCTCAAGAGGCGGGTAGACAAACAAAAACCCACAAATTCTGACAAACTCCAAGCATTGATTTTGCAAGAATGGGCTGCCATCAGTCAGGATGTGGCCCAGAAGTTAATTGACAGCATGCCAGGGCGGATTGTAGAGGTCTTGAAAAAGAAGGGTCAACACTGCAAATATTGACTCTTTGCATAAACTTAATGTAATTGTCAATAACAGCCTTTGACACTTATAGAATGCTTGTAATTATACTTCAGTATACCATAGTAACATCTGACAAAAATATCTAAAAACGCTGAAGCAGCAAACTTTGTGAAGACCAATACTTTTGTCATTCTCAAAACGTTTGACCACGACTGTAGTATCCCTCGAGCATATGTAGTACTTACTGTAGAATGTTGTAGTATACTGTAGAATACTTTAGTAAATACTACAGTATTATCCGCAAATAAAACGCTGTAGTAAATACTACAGTAATGTCTGCAAAAACACTACAGTCCGCATAAACCCTACACTTTTTTAAACTTCAGTAAAGACTACAGTATTTAATTAATATTTATACTATAGTTGTAAATACTACAGTATACTACAGTAAATACTACAGTATTCACTGTAGTGTTTTTGCAGACTTTAGTCTGCTAAAACACCACTGTTTTTGCAGACTTTAGTCTGCTAAAACACCACAGTGAACACTACAGTAAAGTCTCAAAAACACTACAGTGAATACTAGTTTTTCATGTGGGGCACGCACACACACACACACACAAAGCCCCTGGTAAACCCACACAGATTGCTGCCTGCTCTCAATCTTAGC